GCGTTTGTCTGTCTACAACTTTTGTTTCAGACCCTTATTGTTAGCTATATTATATTTAGAAAACACATCTAGATATCAAGGACTCTCTACGAATACACCGACTCCAAGAAGTTCAAATGAGTATAAATCCGACAGTCGTTATCAGTTAGGAGAAGCCGGCTCGGTATATTTGTAATAAAGCGCCGCCTTTACGGATCTCCAATACAATTATTTAACTTAACGATATTTTCTCGGAATCCCATCTTTATTTATAAGATAGTTAATCCGCACCTCTCCGTTATTTCTAACACTATCTACTCATCACGGATTACTTTTATAATGCATTTATTTTATTTTTGAATAAAGATTACATTTTTTATTGGTCGTCTTTGAAGATATTTACCGACGACCAAACTAAAATAGTGTTATTAACCGTTATAGCCCTAATATTAATCTACTCGGGCCTATCAATTTTATTTGTAAGTTAAAATAAAAAATAAATCAATACCAGTAATTGAATTTGAAATATTCGGTTAAAAATTATACTTTTAATTTAATGGAAAGACATATATTAGGTTGAATAAATAATACTAGTTGTTTACAAAATAATAAAACAAGAAAAATATTTTCATTATTCGCAGCTGACTTAAGTCGTTGGAGTTTGACCCTCTTTGAGGTACTTAACAATGCAATTTAAATTTCAAAAGTTAGCATGATCTACAATAGTTTTTACATGTTAAACGATTAAAAACACTACATAGGCGTAGGCTAAATTATGGAGAGGCTTAGGGGATAGCACCCCCAAATCTTAAAATAAGCAGCCTCTATAATTAACATGTTTATATTTTAAAACTTCTGCTTGTAAAAATACTTTAAGAAAAAAAAAAAAAGATTTACTCGAAATTCTACAGTGTTTAAACATTTATACATAAATATGTGGAGGTGTTAATAATGTATTATCAGTTCAACTATTTATAAGAAAATCTGTTTGCATTTTACTTATACGCTTAATATTATATGAAATAAAAATATGCACTATATTATAGTGACTATATACGGGGTGAGATGAGTGATCCATCTGATGTAGGACACACATTTTTTTAGAATAATGTATGGATATTTTTCAATACGTTGAATATTTTTTTATTACCCCTTAAATATGGATCTGGAGTTTTTAATTGGGAACATATAATTTTAATTCCATTACCACGTAGATAATTTTTTTTAAAATTGTTATTGTTTGAGTTTTTTAATTTATATCAATCCGTTCGTTTGTTATACCTTTGCAGAGATATTACTTTTCACCTTATAATGTTATCTTTTATCTTCGGTTCCCAAATTCCAGTAGCCCATAAAATTCATATTGATACGTTGTCCGATAGGCATGCACACCAACAACCAGATACATTTTTTTTAGGTTATTATGACTAGGCAGATCTTATTAACCTATTTAAACACAGTGTCATTTTTATCGACGGGGTCAGTATTATTAAATGTTGGGTACTATTGTAAAAACTGAACGAAAATATATCATAGTCCATACTTCTTTTACGCAAGCGATAAAGGTAAACATTTTCTAAAAATGGAAAAATATAGTAATGCATGTATTTAAAAGTATAAAAAAAATTACTAAGTTTTAAATTAATGTATTTTTTTTTTAATTTGCCAAAATATTTACAATATATTCGGTAATTTACGCAATAAGTAATTTAGTTAGCAATTTAGAAAAACAGTAAAACGCATTTTTAGGCCTGAAAAGTTTTTGTGTTTCGAAGTTTTTGCTGATTCCCCGTTAATATTGTTATCATAGGTCAAAATTGGCTTCAAAAGGGTATTGTAGTGGAAGGAGCTTGGTTTTATTGGTATTTCGTTTTCTGTATAGAAGAGGCCGAAGCATATTTAGTCGATAGCCGAGGATATTGCGTTTTTCTTTTAAGTGTGGTAACCGCAGGTTAGGCGCTTATCAAAATAATAAGCATAAGTATTGGCAGTACCATTCAAAGTCAGGCTGTTATTTGCATTAAATTCGTGTTGACATGAAAAAACGTTCGAGTGTAAAAACACTTAATAACGGTATGTGCTCAGTGTTTTCCTAGTATGAAATGCGTCAGTATATAAAAGACCTTGAATAATTGTGTGAAAAAACAGACAATTGTTTTTCACTGACTTATTTTTAAAAAAAAAATTAATACACAACCGCGTGAACGATTTTACAAATTTGGAATTATGCACACAATGGTGCGATTGTAAGACCTAAAAGACAGTAGCTTAAACTTTCCATTACATCTGTATACATAAAATATATTTGCGTTTTGTAAGACTTATTCCGATTTTACCGTTTTGGGGAAAAAGTCTCAAAACCATCACTTTAAAACGGTCGTTTTAACATACAAGTTCTCAAGAGTTCTACCATAGTTTCAAAGATTACCAGTGAGTTTTTAATGCATTTTTATTAAGTTTTTCTCATATAGTATTTTTTTATGCTCATGTTTAGATTTGCGATAAACTTTTAACGGCTAGGTTATGTCATTAATGATATAGTACAGACAATTTTACATCGTTTTGTATTGATCAGAAATCAAATCTGAAATGTGCCTCATTTGTTCCAATATTTAAAATGTACTCATTCAAAATTAGGAAAAACAACCAAAGAAATATGAAAATGTTTCAACCTAACATAATCTTGTAAAAAGAACGGATTTTTTTATTTTTATTTAAAAAGTTCATGAAATATATACATTTTATTTTCCAACAGTTATGATATCAATTTAGGGCTAAGTAATACTAAACTGTTGAACACATTATTTTATGTAGCAGTTCTATGTATAGATCAGAAATTGCACTTGGAAGATACTTTATTTATCGCCATTAATATTAAGAAAACACTCATAGAATGTACCTATTTTACAACTTAAAAGTACGGCAATTCGTAAACTTTTTATAAATAGACAAATTAATTCCAAATTTATATGGAATATTTTTTAGATATAGTACTACCGATAAACGTGTAAAAGTCCTTGTGTTACAGGTTGTGAAAATAACGGGCTAATACGGAAATACGGGGTTTACAATATTAAATAAAAATATGTTATGTTTTTATTATGACCTTCTATCTAGGAAAGTATCATTAAAATACGATTTCTTGTCTACAAATTGGCTACCGACAGTTATCATTGTAAAACTAAAACCTTCTAAATACCAGCACTAAAGCACGGTTAGGTTAGGTTATCGTCGATAACACGATGTGGCAAAATTTAGGGTGGGTTTTTTCCAAAGGATGAAACCAACCTTTAATAGTTACATTTGTTAGCGAGGAATCCAAATCTGTCTTTAAAATAATTGTTCTAGGAAGACAAGATTCTGAGGAAATTAATGTTATTGTTGAAAAAAACATAAAATTTAACCAAGATAAAAAAAAACCTGAAATAATAAATATCTCTCGAATATTATAGCATAATCCCTTGTTTATGACCCTGAAAATACTAAAAAAAAAAACCACATAGATCAGGTTGTTGATCCCAATGGCTCAGGGATTTTAAACGAATTAACAGGATTGCGTTACAGTTTTTATAAGACATTTGTAATTTCAGAGTTTTTTTTAAAGTGGTTCAATTTGATGGAACAATTTATATACATATAATTTTTTTTTTTGGAAAAGCCTATTTTTTTGGGATTTTTCTAACTTAACATATATTTCTGTCAGAATCATGACGTGGTAGGAGAATTTAAAAGACAGATTAGGAGTCAATAATTAATTGACAACTATGTCTAATGCACATGGCTTTTATGTTTATTATTTTTTGCAGACAAAAATGAAACATTATTGTTTTTTAATATCATTCGCCGTTGTTACTGTTTTAGCAGTTAACATAGGTAATTATTATAAATTTTATATTCACACTTGCCTACTGGAAGGAATTAAAAAATCTAAAAAAATACAATAAATTAACTTTTTTACAGCCGACTACAAAAAGGAGGTTGCCTACACAAGTTAGTATTTTTTTCTTTTGTTATACAAACTTAACTTTATTTGCATACACTAATTTTTATTTATTTACTACAGATAGACAAATCAAGAGTGCAGGAGGTAATTATATATATCTTAAATTATTAAACTGACACATAATAATTATTGTTTTGTCAAGTTTTCCAAAGTATAGGTTGATTAATAAATTCAATATTATAGTTTCTGTAATCTGTGCACAAAATGTATAGTATCATCGTTTTATCACTTTGTAAATACTTTATAAATAAAAATCAAATAATGTACAAGTATACTCTTTCATGCAGCAGTTTCTGTAGTTTACATAGGGCGTACTTAGATATAGACAGTAACCATTTAACAAATTTAAAGTTGATCACTTATTATTATAACTCATTATTTTCTTGACCCAATATTTGTTTATTCTAGTAAAGATGCATAAGGTAATTCAATCCCTTGTTTGTGGACCGGCACCGATGGGTAATTTTTTATATTTTGATTATAATATAATAAAAAACTAAATCCAATATCATTAACTAATCCATTTATGTAATGTAAATTTTAGATAAAGTTGTTTTTATGTTGGTTGCACCAGGTAATAGTATTTTTCACATGTATTTGCAAAGTGTTGTTTGTTTTCATATTTAAAATGTTCTTGTTTTAATTTCAGACATGGCACTCGATGAATCTATTGAAAACAGTAAAGAAAAACTGCAGGGTAATTATTACTCTACCATATTTTATATTTAGAATACTTTACATAGACATACATGTATAATTTCTAAAAATTCAGATTTATCATGTTTTTAAATATTAAGCTTAAGAAAAGATGTAAATTAAAGTTGATGACCTTTTTTGTTACAATTTCAGAATGCATAGGCTACCAGACTGACTTGCAAAAAGAAATATCCACTGTCTCACGTAAATACTAAAATTTATAAATGCACAATTTCAAAAATAGTAATAAATTATTTCTAATCAAAATCTAATTTCAATTTGAGTTTAGTGTCTTAAAGCCATATGTTTATTTACTAAAAGTTTTGATGATTGTTTTATAGTTGAACTCATAATTTTGTTAATACTAGGTGTAGCGTGTTTTATATTGAGAAAAGTTGGTTTTCTATGTGATCCAAAAGGTAGCTACTATAAATTATATGAAACAAAATAATTATAATAAAAATTGCAGAGGACGATTTACCTCTATGCAAATATATTAGTGAAACACTATCGCCTAACGACAATACCAAAAATGCTTAAAAAGATTTTTTTTAAATTGTAAAAAAAATTATAAAATGTTGTTATGTGCTTCAATAATGTCACGAGCAACTCATTTTTTTCTTTTTTTATGTATAATACATTTGATATTTATTAATTAATTTTTACAGATTTTGAAACCTGTAGGTTGTCAGACCTTGCAGATACGAGAAGAGATTTGATTAAGGATGTTACTATAAAATTACTCAACGATGTAGCATGTAAATATTATAATATCCAATTGTAATAGTTTTATTTGTAACGTTTAATGGAGGTCGTTTAAAAAAGTATATTAAGGCCATTTTAAATTACTTTTTTTTATGCTTTAATTATATTCTTTGTTTATATAATGAATATATTAAAATAATATTTTTATACAAGTTAGAAATTTAATTAAGACAATTTTAATTTATATATGTTTATATAAGTTCATTTTTTAAATTTCCATTTATTTTTATGGGTCTGACACTAAACACACATTTCAACGTCTATTATTTCACAAGAACTTTAAGAAGTTATAATCCACAACAAAATAAAAAAAATATTACAGATTTTATATCAATTAATAAAATAAGTAATGATTAAAGAGGTTGTTTGAAAATCTATAATATTTAGCAACCCCTAACATACAGTTTTTATTTAGCAACTAACAAACAAACTACGACAATGTTTTATTAAACAATGAAAAACTCCAAGTTCCATTTGCAATTTTTTAATTTTTATACAAACGCCTCTTAAGTTTTTAATAAATTAAATTATGAAACTACGGTTAGCTGTACAATAGGGACAATCTGTATAGAGTATTATCACGCGTATTAGTTATGCCTTACACACTGAATAAATGTAGTAACCAGTAAGTTAAGTTTGCAAATTTTTAAACAAACCTTTTTAATTTTTTAAGCTGGAAATCATATGGGTAATATCAGACATCGCGGGATGTGCCGGTTAAAAGGACTGAAGAGAAGTTTAAGTAACCCAAAATCATACATAAAGGAAGCTAATGTTAATGGTAGTACGTGTCGTCTAACTAAAATAAACAACGAGACGGTTATAGTCTCTACCATGGGGTGGGACTTTTAAAATAAACCACTATAATAACAATACTTAAATAATTGTTTTAAACCGCACTTATATCAAAACTATCATATGTAATGTACCTTATAATAAACGGTTTAACATAAGATTATAAACTCATTTGTTGCTTTTTACCTGTACGCAGGTTTGATTCGAAGTGTTCTTGAAAATAGTTTTATTTATTTTAATCATTCTATTTATTGGCTTATTATAATCCATTTAAGTCCTGTACCTCGACCTAGAAAATGCACACCCTAAGGGGGTTTTCTTGTACAAGTGTTGGATACATATTGAAGTGTTTGTCTAAATTTGATTAAAATGTTATCTCCTCTAGCGATAAAGTAAAACTTTCTCAGCAATCCGCCATAGTTACACAATAGGAGTTTCCATTAGGATTTCGGTTGGCAGCAGACGGGGCCGGTGTTGATACCAGCATAAGAGAGAGTCAATACAATTAATGCGTTTGTCTGTCTACAACTTTTGTTTCAGACCCTTATTGTTAGCGATATTATATTTAGAAAACACATCTAGATATCAAGGACTCTCTTCGAATACACCGACTCCGAGAAGTTCAAATGAGTATAGATCCGACAGTCGTTATCAGTTAGGAGAAGCCGGCTCGGTATATTTGTAATAAAGCGCCGCCTTTACGGATCTCCAATACAATTTAACTTAACGATATTTTCTCGGAATCCCATCTTTGTTTATAAGATAGTTAATCCGCACCTCTCCCTTGTTTCTAACACTATCTACTCATCACGGATTATTTTTATGATACGACCGAACTAAAATAGTATTATTAACCGTTATAGCCCTAATATTAATCTTCTCGGGCCTATCAATTTTATTTAAGTAAGTTATTAAAATTAAAAATAAATCAATACAAATAATTTAATTTGGTATATTTTTAATTTAATTGAAAGACATTTAATTTCAATAATTAACAATAATTGGACTATTCATAATATTATATCGCTTTGCGCCAAAACGTTTACAAAATAATAAAACAAGTAAAATCTTTAGATTAATCGCAGCTGTCTTAAACCGTTGGAGAATGTATATGATGTGTTTTATGTAAATAGGTATAATTTAAAATCAACTTTTAATCTTCTGGAGCTGTATTAAGTCTTCAGATTCTCAATCTTGCAATGTTCCGTGCATACTTTTCCAAATTTTAACTATGCAAAACAATTAATAAAGTCAGTTAATCGCTAATACTTAGCAATTTGAATTAAAACATGATAGAGTAAAGTAGTGAACTTTGCACAAGCTTCTTTTGGAAATTTTTTTACCAAATAACATGGTAAATTTAATATTTTAGGTATTAGGGAGGTTTTTAATCCATGGCGGTTATTCACCAAAACAAATAAACTAATGGCTAAAGACAATAATTGAATCGAGGAAACGATTGTACTATTATATTTCGCTCTCTTCAGTTTACTCCTTACAAATTATTTGTCGGATCTTTTGCCGCACCTTCGCCTCTTTCAACCGACGATTTTATAATTATATTTTCTTGGAGTTAATTAAAATGCTGATTGCTGTGGTTATTACTTGGCTGGAACAAAATCCCGGGATCAACGTTGAATTTTATTGTTTTCCTTTGTTGATAACCACCATTTAGAAAATAGTAATTTGTATAAAACCGGCGTAAGCTTTAAAGTTTTAGCTGTTCACTTATTTGTGAAAATTAAGTATAATGCACTAGAATCCGTTTTAACTAATGAAATGAATAGGGATAAGGTCGAGACTCTAGATATTACAACAATCGGAATACGTATGTCAAACAACTTTTATTATTTAATATATAAAAAAAAAAATTCCATACTGAACTGGGAAAAAAATTGTACTGTAATTTTATATAATACTTACATATTGTTGCTGGTAAAAGTACAAGCTGAATATTTTTTTTTGCGTATAAAATAAAATATTTAAAATGTAAAAAATTATTTGGGTATTCTGTAAAATTTTATCTGAAAGTAATTTTAGCTTCGATGCAATGCAGATATGCTATTTGTTTTACATTGATGTGGGCTTTTTTTTTTGTCTGTAAATGTGTACACTGTAACTAAATAAAGTATAAGCAAACCATTACAGTGAGTTAGCTAGGTGAATGAAATTGTATACTTACATAATATACATTACTTGATTATTTCTCTTACTGAATAGTCGTTGGGTAATTTAATTGGCATGGAAATATTATTTGTTGTTGATATTGTAGTATTAATAATAATTATGCAGATACTCCTAGTACTATTACTAGTACTAGTACTCCTAGATACTACTAGTATGCCAGATACTCTACGTATCTGGCTCGGTTTTTTTTTTGACGTGGTATTTCATCTGCGATGATGTTTCAGATTGCATATTTTACTAATTAAAAGCCATAAAAAAAATGTTTTGGAGGTGACTTCTGTGGTGGAAATGAGGTGTTGAATTTAGGTCGTTTTAATGATGTTAAAATATAGTTTCCGAATACTCTAAATTCTATGCGGGCTATATATATATATACGCCCTTAAACGCTGGCATGAAATGTGGAAATATTTTTTTTGTACGAAATTAAATAGTGGAAAAACGTTAATATTAAATTTCGAATTCAAAACGTATTGACTCGTTTTTACAATAGTACACCGCGGTTGTGTTGTAACGAGTAAGTTATCAGTTATAGTAAGTATAATTTAGACGCATGTAGATATTTTTGAAATTGGTGTATGCATTTGTAAACTGAATTAGTGATTATGCAGTTCTCTGTGAGAGCATACAATACTTCCTCCTAGAATGGCTGACGTTTCTGTGGATATCAATGCTAGCCTTTTAAACTGCCATGAGTTTGGATTTTGCAAATAAATCTACTTGCTATTTCTTATACATAATAAGAATCACAAAAACAAATTAAGTATGTAATACAATGGGAAAAAAAATTACAATAGTAATAATAATAATTAAACATAGTTACACGTCTAGTTGTTGGGACAGAACGTTGAGCTTATATGTTTTTTTTTTTAGAGATTTATAGCCAGTGATTCGTTTATTCGTTTTCATTATTATGTATATGACTACCGATGATAATATAGGTATAACTTTAGTTCTATAAGTATAAACGGTTACTTGGAAATTTAATTCACAATTGATTTCTTATTGTTTTTAAATTTTTATAATAGTTAATAACTGTTTTTTTTTTTTTATATAGTTTTTCTACAAAAATCGAAATTTGATCTTTAGAAAAAGTATTAAGCTTCTCATGAAAAAAAAATCCAATAGAAATACCATAACTCAGAAAAAAATTGTTTTTAATTAGAAAAACCTAATATTTGTTTACCTTCAAATCAATTTTTGATAGATGTTGACTATCTTTTGCCCCTTAATAAATAGCCTTTTGCGTTACACCTTAATGACGAAGTCAGACCATAATTATGGGTTATTTTTCTGCCAAAAACATGTTCTTTTATCTACATAATATTAAAATATTATGCTTTTATTTGATAGCTTTTTACACTACAACGCTTTAGTAAAATGCAAAATTCTATAACTAATCTAAAGATATAGATTATAGCCTCACACAATATATTAATTTTATTTTTTGAATGTGTTGTAAAAAAACCCTTTTTTCACTCGACTAAAATGCTAAACAAACGCATTTCCAAATTGAATTTTAATAATATACCAACAAATCTCTTTTTTTTATAACATCTTTAAGTTAATACTTTTTAACTTTGCTGGTGTACACTGTGCTTGGTTTGGACTGTACTGGCTTGAAAATACCAACTACTGATTTGCATCGAAGCGTTTATTCCTTATTGCTGCAAAAACCGAACGAATATTGATACTAAATTTAAATCTTTACAAAGTCATGCAAACGAATTGATTGACAAAAAGTAAAAATTTTAACGCTAAAATTTTTTTAAATTTGTTTTCTACATAATTATGAAATTTAAAAAAAATATGCTCCTATTTGGAAAAAAAACTTAATCCTTACTTATTTTATTTATAAGCGATGAAGGTAACAATTTCTTAAGCCTTCAAAAATATCTAACTTTGAGTATGGGAAGTATAGGAGTATTGTTTCCAAAATATTCATGGTTTCCAAGAAAACGAGTATCTTACATCAAATGGATCACGCTGTATTATATAAGCATTCAAGTACAAAATTGAAAGGTATATAATATATACCATACATGGAAACTTATAACTTGATAAAAATCAAGTAAAACTTTGATTTTTTGATCACCGCATTAAGTATGGCCTTCAGCATAAATACATTAATCATAAATAATACAGTGTAAAACTGCAAAAAATATTTTTCTTATGATAGGTATATAAATTGCTCGTAGAACATTCTACTGATATATGTTATTACTTTTTTACAGTACTACATGCGTTGTAAGCTATTTTGTTAAAAACATAATACAAATTAAACGTGTGGGTTTAATAAAAAACTGCTATAAATCACTTTTGTGTGGCCTTCGAATTTTAACCCGAACCATTCCAGTTTATTTATACAATAATTATGTACAATATTAAATATGCATTGCACAATTTGCCATTTAAGTAACAAAAGTCCTGGTTAATTGAACAAAAAGTAATTTTACGTTTACATTTAGCTCAAGGTCAACGCAAGCAATAACCGAAAACTTGATAAAACCATTTGATATTAAAAATATTTTTCATGTAGGTTTACACGTTTCTCACAGCCTATAATGTTAAATGTAACAACTTGGATTAAAATTTGTAAAATACTGTTACAGTAGTTATATTAAGTAAGCCCGTGTGCACAAGTGCACATTTCCCACATTTGACTGTGCAATTTTTATATGAAAAAAAAACCAATCGCTTAAGTTCCAAACGACATTATTTCATATGCTTCATGCGATTTTCTATTATATTTTACATACTAGCGTCCTTGTTATACTATAGTATGAAAGTAAAACACAATTAGATTAATATAAGTAATAATATTCGCTGATGTTCATTATGAAATCCAAATTACACGAATGATGTGTTGTGCCGGTGTAGAACTAGCGTATGGTGGACAATCTCCATACATAT